AAAATAACATTATAAAAAAAGTCCTACAATTACAAGCCACTCAAATTAATCAAATTTTGCAGACAGTTGGAGTACCAGAGAACACTTATGAAATGCAATGGGTTTTGACGGCTTTGCATTAAAAAACAACACTTAAAAGGAATGTTCACAAGTATGTCATTACCTGTGAAAAAACACTTCATCCACTGGGATTTTGCTTTCATCTTTGGCACGGAATTCCTTACTGTTGACTACAAAAAACAAAAAAAGAACTGATTTTACCTCAAGTTGAAATGGTTGTTATTCTTTTAAAAGGTTAAACACCATGCACAGATAGAACTATGCAGATATCCAGTGTCATCTGTTAAATAAAGTGGAGCTCATCTCAAAATATCTTCATACCAACAGTTCTCAGTGTATATACCGATACTTAGATGTGAGCAGACCCTACGGAAAAACTCAAGAGGCACAGCCCTAACCTGGCTCTAATTCATATACCAGCAAGGCAGGTTTTGCAAACACCTACAGCAAGAATATATTTTAAAAGAAGAAGAAAAAAAGAAGTAGGAAATAAGCTAAACTCGCTGTCTTGCACTAAAACACTGGAACCGCTTCTGCCCCGCACTCCTGGCAGCAGCAGTGCTTGTCAGCAGCTGCAAGGCAGGACCATACACCTACACCAGCCAAGCGTGTTGAAGAAGGGATCGAGCCTCACCCTGCCTCCATTTCTGAGGAACTGAAGCAAAATACAACACTGCAACAGCAGATCGACTAGACTCCCTGTGCAGGAGGTTTTTACCCTCATACATTCCCCTTCCCTCCTCCACCTCAGAAGTAAATCAAAGGAGAAAGAGCTACTGATTCTCTCAGTGGGCACAGATTATAATATTTTCTAAGTGACAAGGGTTCAAGTTTCTGAAACCAGACCAGCATACTCTCAGCAGGACTCTTCAAATGAATAGTAGAAGGTACGAGAGGATTTGCAATCTCAGTTCTCTAAGCCTCAGCAGAGACCAGCTACATGCAACAACTGCAGATTTTTGTATCCATATTAACCTATCCATATTTTTGTACCAGATGTTTCATTTGTAGAACACTTAAATTCCTCAAATCCAGTTCTAAATGCTCAATCTGCTCCTTCAACTCAGAATAACCTGAAGAATGCGATAAGAAAACTGCACCTTCAAATGCATTCTAGGTAAAAATTCCTACTTTTAAGCTTTAATAGCCATAAAACCATGCATCAGTAAAGGTAGATCAGCTAAAATGACTCAATGGATCCAAAGTTTCAGTTGTGGAGATTCCATGCACCCTTTCAAGACAACTAGACCTGATCCTGAACATCAGGCACCGCTGCTGTACTCCTGATAGACAGGACTTTCTTTTATTGCTAACAGAAATTGCACAGACAGTGCAGATGACACATGTCTACAACAACCAGCCAAGAACTTTTCGGCCATCATAATCTTAACTGCAAAGGGGTTGGCTTACCTGCCAGATTCTGTGTATCTTTCATGAACTGCTTCTTCTTTGGCTGCATTACCACACTGCTGGTGTTTTCTGTAGCAGAACATAAATCAGTAATAAATTACTTTATTACTATTGATACAAAACCTTGAGGAGCAGCTGATACACCAGTGGGTCATGCAACCATCCAGAGGGACTCTGACAGGCTGGAGAAGCGGGCGGACAGGAACCTCAGGCAGTTCAGCACGGGGAAGTGCAGAGTCCTGCCCCTGGGGAGGAGCAGCCCCAGGCCCCACCAGTACATGCTGGGGGCTGCCCAGCTGGAAAGCAGCTTGGCAGAAAAGGCCCTGGGCGTCCTGGTGGACACCAAGTTGACCGTGAGCCAGCAAGGTGCCCTTACGGCAAAGGTGGCTGACGGTACCCTGGGCTGCATGAGGAGAGGCATTGCCAGCAGGCAGAGGGGGGGATCCTTCCCCTCTACTCAGCATTGGGGAGGCCACAGCTGGAGTGCTGGGTCCAGGTCTGGGCTCCCCAGCCTCACAAGAGAGATGGAAGGACCACTGAGAGTGTGGCAAAGGGCCACAAAGGTGGTTAGAGGGGACTGGAGCCCCTCTTCTGTGAGGAAAGGCTGGGAGAGCTGGGACTGGTGCGGCC